ATATATTTAAGCACTATATATTGTTAAGGTTTAGCAGGGAGAAGAATAAAATTAAAAAAGTAATTTTAAAACATTTATTTAATAAATATATTTTAAAAATATTTAACTAAAAAATACAATAAATTTATTCTTTGTATATAAAAAAAAATCTATTAAATAATTTAAATGAAACTATTAAGTTAAGTTAATATCAATTGTGTTAATTAAATGAATGCGACATATAAAAATTTGCTCTATATAACAACCAGTATAATAAAATAATTATCCATGTTTAACATTCCACCCTCTAAGTTCTCTTTAGACGTAAATCTTTCGTGTTCAAGGAGTTTTTTTTATCTATTTTGATCATAAAATCTGTCATAGTTTCGTCTTGGAAAATGATAGTTGCCACCATGTTAAGGTTTGTCAGGGAGAAGAACAAAATTAAGAAAGTGATTTTAAAACTTTTATTTAATAAATATATTTTAAAAATATTTAACTAAAAAATACAATAAATTTATTCTTTATATATAAAAAAAAATCTATTAAATAATTTAAATGAAACTATTAAGTTAAGTTAATATCAATTGTGTTAATTAAATATATGCGACATATAAAAATTTGCGCTATATAACCAGTATAATAAAATAATTATCCATGTTTAACATATATCATTTTGAAACTTTCCCAAATATTAAAATAGATATTTAACTTTCATATAATGTTCATTTTGTCATGTTTAAACATTTAATTTTTTAATACAACCTACTAATATTAAGTGAAAATATTGTAATTTTTACGTCAAAAACATATCATAAAGGATAAAAATTTAAATAGCTAAATATTATAAATTATTTTCATTCCCAATTATGGATATTATAGAATTCTATTTTAGAACTAAATTTCAAATTTTAATCTTTACTGGTTTTAAATAAAATTCTTTGAACCGACAAGCCCCTTGCTCCGACTAGCCTTGGTCTCCCCTATCCGCCCTTTACTATAAAGTTCTTTACCCACCCGTTCACTTATTAATCTAAATATTTTACCCGTACACCAGCTTATTATTTATAGAAAAAATTTAACCAACGCCTGCCCATGTAAACAAATGTGCCTAATCTTTCAATTTTTTTTAACATCTAATAAAAAAAACATTCAGTTTTCAGCATTACACTCCTATAAAAAAAGTTTATAATTTAGAAGATAACTATATTAAGCTTTAAAAAATATTCAATTTAAATTATGGATAAGAAATTTATTTGATCAGGCAAAATATTAATGAAAAAATATAAAATTAATATTTATTGATACTATTTGTAATTATAATGTAAAAATAATAATGAATCCACATTTTCTGGATTAAACACGTTCTTCTTTATTCTAATAACCTTCCAGCAATGCTAAATCGGAAGCATTAGTTGCTAAAATCGCCAAATTTTTTCTAGCTAATCTTGATAGTTTAGATAAATCTTTTACTTGCCGTTTCTACCAAATTAGGATATCCGTTTGAAATATATCAACTTCCTTAAGTGAGATCTTTAAATAAAAAGTGAAGACTGTTGTGATATTCAAATCAAATGAGTTAAAGAAAAATGAATTTATTATTCAGATTAGATAAAGTTCAAGATTATTTAAGTTTGTTGTTTAAACACTATGTAGATGAGTATTTGTTATAAAAAAAAGATAGATATATATATGTAATTTTTATATAATTTTGATTCATTTTCTTTTTTACTATTACTTTTTTATTTTTCGCCTTAATTTTCTTAACTTATATTATTTCGCATTTTTATTTTTTGTTACTTTTTCCTATTATGTTAATTTATAATTGATTAATTTATATAGAATTTAATAAAGAAATTCGGATTTAATTTTTTTTCTTCTATTTTATTTTTCAGCTCTAAATTTCTCCAACTTACAACAATATTAATAATAAATTTAAATTTAAACTAACTGATTGTAAACTAAGCTAAGTAGCCTAAATCTTGTTAAATTATACAAATCAAACTAGTTACTTTAGATATAAATATTTTATTGTCATATTAAGTACGGTGCTCTCCTCTGCAACCCTCATCTGCTGTGGTTTGATTTCAAAATGGACGCTATCTATTTAAACTGCATTTATAATTTCATATTGATTTCTCTTTGTTTTGGGGAAACAGGTAATATCATATTTTCATCCACGTCAATATTCTTCCATTTTTGATATATTTTTTACTTCATTAATTTCTTCCAGCCACAATATCCTCAGTTGTCCAAACTTTGGTATTAAAAAGGTTAAAATTTCATGGAGTATATTTTTTTTATTGTTTACTTATATAATCTTAAATAAAATATAAGATATAATTTTTTACCCTACCCACCTATTGTTTATAATTTTTAGCCCGTCCACCTACTGAGATGAGCGAGTGGGCTAAAAACATGGGTGATCTGCACCGGGCCTAATTTTTCAAGCCCGGCCCGAAATTTTTTTAAAAAAGTTTTGCCGGCCCGGCCCGAACTTGAATTAAAAAATTTACCGGCCCGGGCCGAATTTATTTAAATAGAGAAATTAATTTTTATAATTACTCAAAATAAAAGACATATGTTATATGTCGTTTAGTTTCAATAAATAAAATCAAATATTTTTATTTTACATAAAAAATTCAATATAAAATTGATAAATTTAGATATATTTAAAAAATATTTCCAAGGTCCGACCTGATTTTTTTTAAAAAATATTAGGCCCGGCCCAAAACCGATTATTTTAAATAAAATTAGGCCCGAAGCCCGTTTGGGTCGGGTCTAACTTTGCAGATCTCTAGTACCTGCCCATTTGATGATTTTTCTTAAAAATATTCTTTCTTGCATATTATATATTTTTTTTTAATGTTTTGACATTTAAATTGAATAAAATAAATTAATATACAATAGAGTTTGCCAATAAAATCAATTATAAATCAATAATTTTGATAAAATTTTATTTACTAAATTTGATCAAAATACTTATAACGAAGTACAATGACTTATATATTTTAAAATTAAATAATTTTATATGAAAAATACTAAATTGTAGTAGTAATCATTATTTATTAGATAAAAAAAAAATAATTTATTTTGTATTTCATTGTTTCAATTTTTGACATAATTAATTGTTAATCCTAATCTCAATGTTGTAAGAAATTATTTAATATTCTAAAAAAAATTAGTTTGTTAAATCCTTCTCTTAAAAAAGTATTTCTGGTGCAGTGAAATTTCTCTGAATCCAGTTTATTTTTCTGGAGTTGCAGTCCAGAAAAATAAAGACTTATAAAATTTAGTAAAAATAACAGAAACATTAGTTTTTTTAAAATATATTTTACTATATTTAGGATTTATTATAAAAATAATTTTATAATTGGAATAACACATATAATATAATTTCTAAAAAAAAATATTTGTTTTTTAAAATTTTATAATAGAATATTTCATTTACTCGTCATTAGTTTTTGAATTTAATTATTCAAAAGAAAGCTAGTTTTCCTTCCTAAACGATTCCTAGGTTTGGAATATATTTCATATGATAAAAATATCCTAGTGAATCTGTTGATTATTTTACTATGAACTGAATGGTCATGCTAAGTAAAAACTAACCTCTATCAGAAAAGGGGGGAGGGGGATGGAGTTTTAAAAATGTTAATTTTTGGTACATGCTAAACAATTGCCACAGAACTTATACTCAAGAATATTTTAAATTAAGAGTATTGGTGAATTTTTAATGGCTAAAGCATTAGGACACCCAATTGGGAAATAACAATAGCTAAAATTAAAAATAATAATTACACCATTATTTTATTAGTTAAAAAATAAAATTTGGCTTAGTTCTATTTGAGGATATTTATAATAATATTCACTATAGGAAATGAATGATTTTCTTTCCGAATCAATGATATCAACTAGTTAAATTTTTTAAACAGTTTCATCAAATTTTTTATTAATAGATAGCTATTCATTTGATAAAATATTAAATTAGCACATGATATCAATATATATTTTCACAATAATTTCTGACCCAGATCATCTGAAGCATTAGCTTTTAATTACAAAGAAATATTAAACTAAGGTAAAAAGAATTAATGTATGATATTTTCCAATCTAAATTTGTAACTCCTCTAATTGAGATATTAGTATTTGTTTAAATCACGATATCAAAAAAATCACAAAAATTTTGCCAACCCTATAATATATTAAAAATAAAATATTTTGATTATTCCTTTTTGATTTTCAAAATTTTCATCCAATAAGTAAAAACGTTTTAGAGTTAAAATTGAATTTGCTACAATAAAAATCTGTCTAATTCTTTATCAAAAAAGAGATTTCAAAATAGACTCGCTATTTTGGAGCTTCTACATTTCTTGGTTTTCTAAAAATATGTTTAATTTTAATAAGATTGAAATAATTAAACTTGTGTCAATCCCTTTATTAATGAATTTATTAGTGGTTAGTAATAAGTTAATTAAGCATTTATTTCTAAAACTTGAGTAATATTATAACTGTAGTGGGTGGGTGGACTGAAGCCCCGCTGTCATATAACCCAAATGCATGTTATCTTTACTTTCTAAAATGGAAAATGTGGTAGTTAATGGTTAGTGTTATGGAATGACCCAATTTTTAAAAATGTCCAGATTAAGATTTTAGTCATAATAATATTATGTCAAAATTTGATAAATAGAGGTAACAAGGGCCTTATATAACTACTATCGGTGCTATAATCTTTTATAAAATACTTATTGTAATATTCTATAGTGACAAAGATATATCATCTGAATCCAAACTATCTATTAAATAATTTATAAACTTAAGTCATAAAAAATGTAATCAGCAAAAATACAATTTAAGAGAGGTCTAAAATTAAGCAATTACAATGATTTTATTTTGATATCAGTCAATTTTGTGTTGGTATCAGCTAAAAAATGTGATATTGATTCATCTCTGGTGTAATATTTATAGAAATATTAGGATAAACTACCAAAATTTATATTAATACAAGGTATAATTGTACTATTTCATAATTTTGTATGTATTTTGTTGTTATGTAAAGTAATGTAACAATTATCAAAAACCATATTTACATTGTAAATTGACTATCAAAACAAAATATAACAATAATGCTTGGTGATCATGAGCATCTGAGATAATTTAGATTTGGTTTAATCAACTAGTTTTTGACGAAGAACTAGATTGTGACTTAAGTCTTTCAGCATTTTTTTGAAAATTTATTTCTGCATCTATCCGTTCTTTAGCACGGACTATCTAGGTAAATATTAAAATTTACAATTTAGTAAAAAAAACATACTTTGGACTGAATATAAAATGAACCACCCTTAGATTTATCATTAGAATCAAAAAGATGTTTATATTTTTCTTGAACATCTTCAGGTTTCAGATCAGGTGATATATTTAAAATCTGAATCGCTTCCTCAATATATAATTACATTTAATTACATTTATATATAAAACTTCTATTGTAATTCCTGTCCTTAAATTAGTTGCGCTTGTTTGTTTCGAGTTTGCCGATGAAGGGCCTTGTTTTTGTGAAATGACTTTTGCAGCTGTAATAAATATATTTATTATCATCGAAAAGTCATTACCTTGATATTCTTGTTGCAAGGCACGAATAAACGCTTGTGATATAATTCTTGTTCCGAGAACAATAATTTGTGCCAGGTATTTTGCCTACATGGAACATAGTATATAAGATAGCTGAAAATAATACCATAAAATCATTTGAAATTCACTATGTTCATTTTAAATAACACGGTGGCAACCGTTTTAACGAAAAAACTTCTAAGAAAAATATATCGACTAACTAAATATGGTTTCTATGAGTATATTAGGGGGGGGGGGGTAACCCTGATCAGTAGTGTTGTTACAACTTACAAGGCTCGATTTTTGAAAAAGGCTAACCAAATATTTCAACCAAAAATATTAAGCAAGCCTGGATATTTTGCTCATGGGCAGAAAATGACATCTATTAACAAAATCTCATTGTCTTACCTAATATTTTTTGAAGTTTAGAAATCAAAATTAGCTAAATCAAATTATTTAGCAACACTACTGATCAGTATCGAAACCCTAACAGGCCATCTTATTCAATAATCGTCAGAAGAACATGAAGAATAGAAAAATATTTAAATTATTTTAGATTTGTTAAATGTTAGGATTATTTATAATTATCATCAATTTAAGATTTCCAAACCAAAGTATCCCTTGAGATTTTAATTTAGGAATATTTATAATTACTAGGAGAAGTTTTATTATTTGTTTAAATTATTATTTTTATATATATATTATAACAGTCAATAACCCAACTCAAGGAACTTATTTAATTGAATCAAATATATTTGTCATAGAGATATGGGTTAGGGTAATTAGTTTGAGATATGGGGGTTAGGGTTAAAATGGTTTTTAATAAATTGTCAAGTCTGACAAGTCATGTGATTAGAAATAACTTTCTTGAGTTGAACCCAATGATATATATTTGTCATTTGTTGAACCATACTTATTGTTCTGTTAAACCAAATTTTGTGGTCTAAGCTAAGAACTTAGACTAGATTAATAGTTTTTTCTATGATGTGCTAAAATATTTGATAAATGTCTTAGTTTAAATTGAATATCTATATAGTATTTTAAGTTTTATTAGGATTTTTAATACTTATTGCAAAAAAAACATTTATAGGAAAAGTTTAATTTATTTAAATTGATTCGGATATTTCTTCTGAAACTAACCCCTCAATAATGACATGCCATTCGGATATTTCTACTTGATGGTTGAATCAGAAATTTGCCTCTATGTTGTTGCCATATGACTTCTAAATTTTCCATTATTTTTAAAATATGTTAGCAGTATATTGATGCCTTCAATATAAACCAGGGGCGTTATTAGCCTTTTCAATCTAAGGGGGCTCACCTAAAAAAAATTTATGGGGTGCGAAGCCCCCATACCCACTTTTTGGGGGACCTTCAGCCCGCTTTTGCCCTGTCTTCCGAGTGTTATATTAATATTATTTTTTTTTAATTGAAATTGGCAAACTCTGAACAATTATTCTGATTTTCATCCTTTGTCATATTATGTTATGCATACAAATAATAAAAGTAAAACAATACAAGATATTTCTAAATATAATATATTTTAATCCAACTATTTTCCATTTATTACAATATTAAATATTTTCGATTGCGAATATAAAAAAATATTATGTCTAAAGAATTAAGTGCTAAAAAAAGTAACCTCAATTGATGATGATTTTTAAAAACCATACAGGGCGTTATAATTCTTTGCAACCAACATTGACAAAAGGTCATTAAACTAATATAACGTTGTCCATTTTAGACAATGTTTTATAGAATTGACTAATAAGGAAAAATTTGTAGTAAATAATTTCTAAAAGAAGATATAAGCGACTAATCCAAATCATAAGACTATATGGGTTAATGATAGATACTGCCAACGTATAGATATTTTATAAATTCCAACAACCTAATTTGCTAAATGCCGACCAAAATTTATTAAATTGTAATAGAATCCTTATTATTTAACATATATTATAACATCACGTGGTCGAGTCCGGCCTCCTATATATTACTCCCAAGGACGGAACCACTAAGTTGGAATATAAAAAAAAGATCTTTGTTGGGATTCGAACCCAAAGCCAGGGATTCAAACCAAAACGAATATCGGTTCAGGTTCGGATAAAAATAAAAATATCGGATCGGTTCAAACCTCTAAAAACCGGTTTGAACACTTTTATATTTTTACCTACATTCGAATTATGTATAGGGAAGAATTTTATTTTATCATTAAAATAATAAACACTACATAAAACTTTCATTTTTATAAATTGCATATTAAAAAATAATATTTAATTTATAAATGTAACAAATAAATATCAATGGTTCATTTTTAATATAACAATATTTAACTTTATTTATTTAAGAATTTTTTATTAAGCCGCACAATGAATATATTTTCAAGATTTATCTCACTCAAATTACATTTATAAGGAGATAGTATAAATTTAATTGGTGAAAAACATCTTTCCAACTAACTTGGATAGCGGCACTGCCAGTATGATATCAGACAATTTGTATTTGTTCATCATTTTCAGACATTTGATTAAGATTTGCCCCATTGTCAGTTGTTATAGTGTATATTTGTGATGTTTTGATTTATAATCACGTGTTCTCAGAACAATTTTTGTTTTTTGGATATACTGAAGATTGATCCCAATAATGGACCTGTCTATACTAGTAACAAAGTCAATTTTTTGAGTTAATAACTTACCATTTATTTGATTACATTTTACCGAATTTATAAGGCTATCTGCAACATAAGATTGAATTTTTTGAGAATTACCTATGCTTTCTAACATAGGATCAAGATTTTTTTTAGAACCACTATCAACGATTAATGGTCTGCAATTAAAAGTGACGAACTCGGTACATGTATCTATTAATTATTTATATTTAGTTTTACTGATATTGTTTATTCTTTTAATGCTTTTTCTATCGTGTGTGGGCTTGAAGGCATCTTAAACTTTTTATTTTATTAGTTATTATGATATTTTGTTAATTTTATCGAATTCTAGAGGGCGGTTTCTTTTTATGTGACGCTCAAGATTTGCTCCATGATGACCTTTCATATTTATTTAACAATCAGTAATATTACATTTTGATGCGTCATTTATAATACTAATGTAAATAATTTATATATTGGATTTAATTTTTCTCTAAACATTATAATTTATAAGCTGAAAATATTTAAAATAATGTTGAAAAATAACAATATACTAAAGTTTATAAAAATTATGACTGGCACTTATCAATCAAATGTGATTGATAATAGTCTTTAAAACAGATCGAATATAATTAAAATTTTTGCAACATACTAGTAATATCTTACACATTATTTTATAAGAACATAAAATCATGAGGCTCGAACCGGTTCAGAGGAATTTTAGAGGTTCGGTTCGACTAGAAATTTTATAACAGTTTAGGTTCGGCTTAGGTTCGATAAAAAATACCGGGTTTTCGCAGTTCAACGGCGATTCAGGTTTGGTTTAGATCCCTGCCCAAAACCATCCGAGTAGTAAGCGACGCTCTTGCCGACTAGGCCATAGACGCTTTATAATAGCCGAGATTTTTCAAATATATATATAATAAATAAATTTGGTAGTACCTATCCAGAAAAATAGACAAAATACAAATTTGATAAGTACTACCTTGAGGCAGTATCTATCATTAATCGACTATAAGGTGGTTAGACTTAGATGACATTATGAAACTAGTTAAGTAATCGAGAAAATAATATTTTTAAATGCAAATCGCTTAATTACGAAAAATCGGTTAAATGTTTGAGATATTACATTTCTCAAAGATTATCTTACATTTTTATGATATATAAACGATAGACAGTTGATCATTATTGCTCATCTAATTTATACATTGAAATGCTATCAGCAGCAAGAGTAATAACCTTAAATTACATAGCCACACAAATAATATATTCTGGTTAATTTGCAGTCATAGCCATGACACTCACTATGTAAACTCTTATCAGAATTTATTATGTTATATAAATTGATAAAACAAAAACACTAAAAATCTTTAGAAATAATTATGCAAATATATTGAAGCCTTGAGTTATTTACACCGCAAGGAAGACATATTAGAAATTAAACATTTTGTAACTCTAAAATAAAAACCAGAGAGATATGATGAAAGCTGTTGATTGATTGATTTTTTTATTTTACTTAAATTATTATTATAGCCTTAAAATATATATTTCGTTTAAATTGTTTTTTTTATAATACATATATATATACCTTATTTTATATTTATTTTTAGTATCATTTTTTAGTTTTTGAATAAAATAATTATAACTTAAAACCGTTTTTCTTACCATCGTTATTGTTATATAACATGATGCCCCGCAGTGGCCCCTACACTTTTTGAGCGAATGAAGCAGAATACCACCATGAAAAGTACCCCCTTGAAAAGTATCCCCACTCCCTTCGAAAAAATGATAATTATGACACCCATAAATTTCAAAAATAATTTTTATTGCATCAATTTTTAATATATAATATAAATAAAATGCAAATAACTTTATAAATATTATTTTTAAATTAATAATTTAGATAAATTATGGGAAGAGAAAGCGAAAGAATTTATATCATCAGTATTTAATTGTTTAAATAAAATTTTTTCCATTGATAATATGGTTAAATTATGGAGAAAAGAATCTTTCATGGTACTGCGCAGTCTTGTTTTAATTAATTTAATTTTAATCATGAATCTTTCGGTAGTACATGAGGTTGTGGGAATGGTTAATAAATATTTATATAAAATTCTTAAATTAGGGAAAGCAGAAAAATTTAAAAGTAAACGATAAAGTAAAATAAATGAATAGTTTTTCCAATCTGAATCGTAAGTCCCTGAATTATCATCATCATCAGAAGAAGCTAAATAATGTATTGGTAAAAATATTTTAATTAAATAAATTTACAATTCTCAGAATCTGACAAATCTTTAGATTCTTGAACCTCTAGGTCATGAGTAATAATTACATTCCCCATTTTGGCCATCTTATAAATATTTCTAAACTTCAACATTTCTTTGAAAATTTAACTTGAATTTAAATTGTAAAATTCACAGATATTCTCGATATATTCTTTAATAATTGATTTTTCTGCCATTCCCTTTGGCGTAAAAAATGATGTTTGATTTAAAAATTTCATGGAATCATCATTAAATCTTTCGTTAAACTGCATAATAATTAAATCGAGTGCAGCATAAAACACACCTATTTTAAAGCTAAAAAAAATTTCTCTATTTATTGATGAAAGTATATA